TGAGAGGAGTCTTACTTGGAGGGCTCCACACAGAACCTTTCAATTAATCACTGATGTGGGAGATGGTGCGCTCTTACGGTGATCTCATCCATCGCGTCGAAGCTTAAATCTCTAGAAACAAGGTCATCATTGCACACAAAAACAATCCAAGTGATTGGGGGGCAAGCGCAAGAATAACGCTGTGAATGCCGATCAAATCTCACAGCGAAAAAAGTTCGGACCACAGGGGAATCGTAAGCCAAGATCAGAAAAAAAATACACGTCACTCGACACATCACGTGTCAACATCCTAATTGCCATCAAGGATGAAGAGACTACCAAGTCGTCAAGTCTTCCCTCTTGGGCTCGATTTCAACGGGTCTGATAGCTTCTCATCGAGTCTTGTCTCTTGGGCTTTACTTTTATGGGTACAGATGGGGTTCTTGTTTATCACTTGCTCTCAAGGGGACTTTCTACACAAAAATCTTTCATAAAAAAAAAATTTCACTGAAATGATAGTTTAAAGCAACATGAAAATTTTACAAAAATAATATTAGAGTTTATAAACAAGTCTTTTACTTAAATAAGATAATTTGGAGTTGTACTTCTCATTCGATAACTCTGACGATTCTCTTCTGGTTCCCCTCACCTTGTTCTTGTGAGTAGCAACCTGGGGGACCTTGACGTATTAGTTGTTCAATTTCTTTCTTTAATTGAAAACATATTTCTGTCGAATGTCTTTTTGCACGGTGGAAATGTCAATATTGAGACTAGTTTGCACCATCTGAATTTTTTAACGGCTTTAGCCACTTGGTGGTCTCTTCATCCTTGATGGCAATTAGATGGTGGAGACTAGTCTCAATATTGACATTTCCACCGTGCAAAAAGACATTCGACAGAAATATGTTTTCAATTAAAGAAAGAAATTGAACATCTAATACGTCAAGGTCCCCCAGGTTGCTACTCACAAGAACAAGGTGAGGGGAACCAGAAGAGAATCGTCGGAGTTATCGAATGAGAAGTACAACTCCAAATTATCTTGTTTAAATAAAAGACTTGCTTATAAACTCTAATATTATTTTTGTAAAATTTTCATGTTGCTTTAAACTATCATTTCAGTGAAATTTTTTTTTTATGAAAGATTTTTGTGTAGAAAGTCCCCTTGAGAGCAAGTGATAAACAAAAACCCCATCCGTACCCATAAAAGTAAAGCCCAAGAGGCAAGACTCGATGAGAAGCTACCATACCCCTTGAAATCGAGCCCAAGAGGCAAGACTTTACGGGAAGATAAGGTACTCCTGAAAATCAAGTACAAGAAGCAATACTCAATGAAAAGCTACCATGCCCCTGAAAGTCGAGACTAAGAGGCAAAACTCGATGGAAATATCGGTACTCCTGAGAGTCAAGCCCAAGTGGCAAGATTCAATGAGAGCCTACCATGCCCCACGAAGACGAGCCCAAGAGGCAAGTCTCGATGGAAAGCTAGTAGTAGACAGGGTCCTCAATAGAAAGACTCCACGAGAGCAAGTGGTTGACAGGGTCTCCACTCAAAGACTTCAGAAGGCTATAAACCTCAGAAGACACAAATACATCAAAAGACTTCAGAAGACTAGAAACCTTAGAAGCCACAGATACATTAAAGACCTCAGAAGGCTACAAGTTTGACAAGACACGGTACATAAAAGATCTCAGAAGGCTACGAGCCTCGGAAGCTACAGGTTCATTTTAAGCTCGACGCAAGCTTCAAAAGGTATGCGATTCTTTATCTTATAAAGTGTGTGAATAAACTTTAATTGCAAAATTTCATACGAGTGATAAGCTACAACAACATCAGAAGCAATGTCAAAGACGTACAAATAAATACATTATCATCTACAAATATCACATCAGAGAATTAAAAATGCTATGAAAACCAATAAGAATTGGAATAAAGGCTACAAGAGATATCACTTCTACATAAGCATAAAAATCTCCCCCTCAAAGTACGGCGGGAGAGCTCTAGCATTTCTCCATCTCCACCAAAATGTGTTGCAGCACCAAGTAAGAAAATCCCAAGTCACATGTTGGATAGAGATGGAGATAGATTTCTTCATCTCACCGGCACGAAAGATCTCGTTGTTCTCCTGCTACGCAAAATGAAGACGACTTTCTTTTATCACAATACGAAAAAAATCATGTTGCTCGTCTGTTATGCAAGACACGGACGACTTTCCTCCTCGTTGTAACGTGAAAGAAGATCTGATTGCTCATCTGTTACGCAGAACGGTGTTCGTCACAATGTGAAAGAAGATCTTGTTGCTCGTCAGCTATGCAGGAACGGGACGACTTTCCTCTTCGTCGTAATGTTAAAGAAAATTTTGTTGCTCCTTTGCTACGCAGAACGATGACAACTTTCCTCTTGGCCGCAACACGAAAGAACTCGTTGCACACCTGATACGCAGGACGGGGACAACTTTCCATTTCATCGCAACACGAAAGAATATTTCATTGCTCGTCTGCTACGCAGGACGATGACTACTTTCCTTTTCACCACAACGTAAAAGAAGATCTCATTGATTGTCTGCTAGGCAGGACAGTGACGACTTTGCTCTTGGCCACAACAAGAAAGAAGATCGCGTTGCTCGTCTACTACGCAGAACGGGGGCTACTTTCCACTTAACCGCAACACGAAAGAAGAGATCGTTGCTCGTTTGTTACGCAGGACAGAGAAGACTTTCCTTTTAGCCGTAATGTGAAAAAAAAATCTCATTGCTTGTAAGGTACGCAGGATGGGAACGACTTTCCTCTTAGTCGCAACAATAAAGAAGATTTCGTTACTCTTCTGCTACACAAGGCGGGGACAACTTTCCTCTTGGCCACAACAAGAAAGAAAATCCTTTTGTTTGTCTACTACGCAGAACGGTGACTACTTTCCTCTTAGCCGCAACGCCAAAGATCTCGTTGCTCGTCTGCTACGTAAAATGAGAATAACTCTCTTCTTCTGGAAAATCTCGTTAGCAGAAGGCTTCGCTCTCCACTCTTCCTTTTTTTTCTCCTTCTATTTATCCACACTTGTGGTTCTTCCCGACATAGTTTATTTATATGTTTAAGAGGAGCCTTAGCATTAAAGGTAATTATTAAAAAAAGTTAAAATTAAAATCTGCATTTATTTTATCTTTCTAGCTTCTAACTTTTGGCCTTTTGGCTTCCGCCTTATGGCCTTCTAGCTTCCTCAATATAAATAAAAAAACTAAAAAAATCTTTTTAAATTATCACCTTTTAGCCTTCCAAATTCTCTTAAAAAAAAAGAAAAGGCGACTAATATAAAAAATTTAAAATTTGTATTCATTATGTTTTTCTAACTTTTAACTTTTAGCATTCCAGCTTTCGTCTTATGACTTTCCAGCTTCCTCATTTCAATAAAAAAAGACAAAATATTTTCATATACCCACCATTTAATCTTCCAAATTTCCTCAAAAAAAACATTTATCTTTTGGTGAAGGAAATTCGAATGCCGCACAAACGCAAGGAATAAATCCACCGAGACCACTAAGTTGTGCATGTTATAATTCTTATCAACATGTTTTACATAATCTTATAAATAAAGGAAAAAAGCTTGTTTGGATTACTATTAATCGCTCGGTACAACACATTATAACGCATATGTGTGCATATACTTTATTTTATATACCTCTCATCTCCACCAAACTTAATATATATATATATATATATATATAATTGTTGGGTCTAAAGGTTGTATTAATAGTGCAATCACAAAAATTAAAGTATTGTGGATATTGATATTTTCGGACAACAAAGTTGGACTCGCTCGAAAATAGGGGGCAACTGATATTCCACAAACCAATTTTTCATCATCTAACACAAATCTCGTGGCAATCTTTTGAGCAAGAAACATTCAAATTTCAAGTAAGAGTCATCCAACGCTCCAATTTTAGTAAAATTATAGTCAAACTGACCGACTCGATGAGACAGACCTAATGATATCAAAATTAGTCCAATTTGAGTCAAATCAAGTTAATAAATCACTCCAGAAAGTTTTTCGAACATATTTAGAATGTCAAATGAATATCGAATCTAGCAAGCCTATAGCCAAATCGAACGTCTCGACAAGAAGAATCCAGCGAGTCCAAAATTCCTCAATTCTGACATCGTTAAGACACTCGAATGTTCATTAAATATCGTCTGATCGAAGGAAGCTCTCCGGACTGTCCGATGAAAGTGTTTCATATTCTTGCATTGATTGCACTCAGAACACTATAAATAAAGCTTCACCCCTCTCATGAGAGATAAGAGCTTGAAGTTTTGAGGAGCTGGAGTCCAACATCACTCCAGTCACCGTCGACCAATGACGATCGTCGTCAATCACTTTCGACCGCAACCGACCGCCGTAGACCACCTCCGACTGCAGTCGACCACCGCAAACCGTCTTTTATCATCGCCTACTGGCCTCTACAAAATGCTATTGACCACCCACTTCTTACAATAAGTTTATTCGTGCGCCGGCGTTGTAACTCTGAAGAGTGTTCAGCCCTTTCTCGCCTGTGGAACCAGAGACTGTCCACGTAATATCCAGTTTATAGTGAATTTCTTCAACTAGACCAGATCCCATGATTTTTTCTCATTGTGGATTTTCTACGTACAAACTTTTGCTGCCATTACAGTTCTTTTCTTTTATCTAGGTGTGCGTTGAATTTTCGTGCAACGTTATTTTTCTAGCAGCATCAAGGTACATAAGAGCACGCATAAGAAGTTTGAAGCTTAAACAACGTTAGACTGAGCACCAGCTTGAAACAAAAATAAAAATAAAATAAGTTTTATTTTCTGTTCGATATAAGATCCCCTTCAGCATCATAACAGAAATGGCACATGAAAGGAAATACAAATCCAACTTGGAAGCAAAAAATTCAATAAAAAACAAGTCTTAAGACGGGAGTAAACAGCCCCAAAATACAATCTTCGTTAAAACATGCCCAGCAAAAGATAAGAATCAGAAAAGAGCAAAATAATAAATGGCATCTCACCAGTTACGCTGACCTCCTTCCTTAAACTCAGCATCCGTCTCTCTCTTCTTCTCCTCTCCAATCCGCGTAAGCTTCGAAGAAGTGAAAAAGAAAACCAGAAGCAGCACCGCAAATCTTCATTTCACCAACGCACAAAATCAGAGACGAGAAGCTTATTAATTAAACAGAAAGCTATCCAATTACAAAAAAGGCGATAAATCCATCACCTGTATCCCGCCACCGTATGGATGACCATAACTGGTATCCCCGCCATCACTCCAGACAGGTCTACAGACTTCCGCCGGAATGCTCTGGCTGCTATCGCAGACGAAATTAACACAGCAAGGGCAAATCTAAACCACAAACCGTCCATTTGTTTTCTTGGCCAAGTAGGAAGCAGGGATTTGGAACCGTGGAGGTGAAATAGAACGAGACGGAGGAGGCCGACTCCCAGTGAAAAAGAAGGAGAGACAGAGACGATGAAGGGGCAAGCAGAAATTTCTGGTTTGCTTCGCCATCGACATTTGGTTGAGGGAAACTCACATCCAGTTTCAGGACCAGCAACATTTAGGCGGAACCATCCTTGCTTTTCGGAGCTCTCTTTATTGAGCCGGAATAAATTTAATATCCCTCTCTCACATATGCGTTTAGAATTTAGATCGCAAAATTATTTATTTCAGCCTTTCGATCAAAATCACTTAATAACTGAGAGAATTTTTTGTGGGGAGTGCTCACATATGCCGTCATGTGTGTTATATTATCAATATTATTTTTTATTTATTTTTAGGTTATTTTTGAATTATTCAAATGTAATATATGAACATCTCTTCAATAACCCTGAAATAATTCAAAAATAACCTCGAAATAAACTCCAATATATTATTTCGGGTTTAATAAATTAGAACTGTAGATGTTATTTTGGGGTTATTTCGAGTTTATTGCAGAGTCTGCATTTCACTTTAATATTTTTTTAGGTGGGTCAGATATAACACACATGACGATATATTACTGGGAGTCCGTATGTAGAGCTACGTCCAGAGTCCGAACAAATAATTTTTCTATAATAATTTCTATAAAATCAATTTTAAAAAGACTAAATTTTTTACAATAACTCTATACATTTTATCTCAAAATGAATCAATCAGATGGGCTATGGAGCGATTCCAACATTCATCAAAAACCAATAGCCGATATTTCTCAGTTGGTTTGAATTTTCTGGTGAGTTTGGCACATAAGGTAGTGAAGCCCGAGGATCTAACGTTCCATTCAATTCCTTCGCAAATTGCAAATGACCCTCGGTACATGTCATTTTTTAATGTCTACCTTGATTATTACATTCATACGTCTACTTTTATTACATGAAAGATTAAAAAAAATTTAACTACAACTCCAGGACTGTATTAGAGCTATTGATGGAACACACGTCGATGCACGACTATCTAATACGGATAAAGTTGCGTACACCGGTCGGTGCAGCGACCCCACACAAAATGTTATTGTCTTGTGTGATTTTAACATGTGTTTTATCTTTGTAATGACTGGATGGAAAGGAAGTGCCTACGATAATCGTGTTTTCAAGTACGTTACTAGAACCTTGAGACATTGATTTCCGTGCCCACCTCTGAGTAAATACTATTTGGTTGACACCGGATATCCATTACAGAGGAGATGTCTAAAGCCCTATCCAGATACAAAGTACCACATTCCTGATTTTGAAAGATCTAGTGGTGTAGCACGAGGCAAGAAAGAGTTATTTAATAAAAGACACTCTTGCGGCGTAATTGAAAGAGTGGTCGGAGTGTGGAAGAAGAAGTGGGTCATATTACAAGATATGTCGGTTTACTTTTTTTCTAAAGCAGGTACAAATAGTTGTTGGCACAATGACACTGCATCCGACGCCACCATTTTAGATCGGATGAGGAGTTCGCCGTTCTAGAAGATGATTCAGTGCAAATCCCACCTGAAACATTCGAATACTATGTGGGACGTACAATGCCACACGAAGTTTTGGATTCACATGATGCATGCACTCTAGAGGGTGAAGGAGCATCAGAGATGACGACTTTAAGAGAAAAAATAACAGATGATATCAGTCATTCATCATTGAAGTTTTTTACAGTTTTCTGGGTTATGTTTCATGTTTCTTTAGGGATGTCCACACATTGTCGAATGGTTTCCACAGCTCAATTATATTTGGAGCAACAACTACGATGTTATGTTTTATGGGTTATGTTATTTTTTGGTTTCTTGGAATTGTTCGATTCCATTTTATTCTATGTTCCATTGTTAGGAAATGTTCAGAACTGCTGATTTATATGGGTTGACCCTATGTTGTTATTGGTTTGGCATAACCTTCATTTCTGGGTTATTATATTTGCACTATATTTGTACTATACTGCTATTTTTGTTATTTGCATTTGGTACCCCTGTAAGCTGCATTTGTTTTCAATGCACGACTGCTAATAAGTACTTTTTTTTTAATTGTTGGCATGAAGTATAAATTGTGATTTTGTGGCATGAAATGAAAGTGATGTTTTTAATTGGTGGCATGAAGTATAAATTGTGAATTGGTGGCATGAAGTATAAATTGTGGCTAATTATACTTGTTGCCGTTCAACTATGATTTATAAATTGTGGCATGAATTGGTGGCATAAAATAAGTACTAATTTTATATGGTGGCATGAACTAAATTGTGATTTATATTATCTTGTTTGTAAAGCAGCCATACTAGATATTGTGTCATTGCTTGACATTCAACAATTATCTTAGCAGTTATATTATTTCGGTGTAATACAATGATGGACATTATATTAACAGTTATATTATTGCGGTGTAATACAGTGCTGGGCATTATCTTAACAACTATTATAGTGGCTTGTCTGATTGACATGAATGACTTTTATTTCAATTGGTCTTGATGTTTATAGTAGCTTGGATGACCCTATACTTTAAGGGCAACCGCTGCTAAGGATAAATTTCTTGGAATTTATGTTTATATATACTGGTGTATGACTGTTATGTATGGCTGTTATATATGGCAACTATAGTGAATTAAGCAGCTCATTTTAATGTTTGTTTGCAGAGCTGAATCAATTTGCATTGGACAATAAAAATATCAGTGCGAATGGGAGGCTTGTTACTCAATTCACCTTTTTTTTGTATCACACATACATTATCATAACATGGAATGAGGTTAATTGCAGGGGTAATTCTATATTCACCTGCAGTTACATAGCTATAGGGGCAATTTTCATATACGCCACTCAATTCTTATGTAATAGTTGTTGGGTTATGAGTGGAACAACTGTTTTATTTTAGCATTTTAATGGATTTCCATATTTCCTTTTTGGTGCTTGTCTAGCTGCCTTCTATTATTTTAGGTGGTGTTAAATAGAGTATTAGAAATGAAGCACTGTTTATCTGCATTTATTTTGAATCCGAGGAAGTTGGATTTCCTATTAACCAAGCTTGAAATTGTTCTCAAAAATTCAGTTCTTGCAATTATTCTGCATTCAATGTTTTTAATATGTATAATGTTTCTACTCTTCATGTTAAATGATGCCATTGGTTGCATCTCCCAGATTGGTCTGAGTTATTATAATGGTAATTGAAGGAGTGCTATGATTTATTTATAATAGTTGAGATGGTTATAGTTGCTTCAAATAGATGAGTTATTATAAAGGCCGTCCAAGCTACTTCAAATAGATGAGTTATTATAATGGTTATAGATTGCTGCTCCCATACATTACTCTTCATTTATTATAGTTGCAGGAGGAACCTTGGAAATGCATGGAATAAAATGGTTATTAGCTGTTGGTTTGCTGCATTGGTCTCATATTCCTTTTTAAGCACTAGTTGTTGGTGAGTGACAAAATTCTGGCTACTTGATTGATTTGGATTAGTAAAAGAGATGTCTTTAGCCTTTTGATGCACTTGACAAGCCTTATGATGCACATGCCTATGCAATAGGATTGAGAAACAAGTTTTTATACTTTTTTATGTCTATTAATTTTATTGAGATAACAGTGGAGCACCTTGGATGGCTAAAGAACTTTGTTGTCGACAACCATTGCTTCTACACTTTGGTAAGTTGAGTTTTCTTTATTCCCTTTTTTTTGACTGATATACTCTTTTTATAATAATTGCAGGACGGTAAGCTCGAGGTATTCAGGGAAGTCTGGGCAAGTGATGTGTCGATGTGGGCAACCGTCATTGCTACTCACGTCACGACAGACATAGCTACGAGCAGCAATTCAATAGGTGTCCGTAGTGGGGATACAGACCAGAAGACTGTAAATTCTTCAGGTGGACTGACAGTGCAACTATTTCTACGATATCCAAATTGGACACAGCTGCTCGGAGTTCGAAAGTACCACAACGGGAGACCACCACATGTGGTTCGAGTACTTCCGTTTCTATGATATCCCAGTCGGATGAGTTTGCTCGGGGTTTTGATGTATCAGAATCGGGCAACATTCGTCGTGATGTGCTTTTACATTTTAAAGTCAATATTGTCATTTATTTTCTTGTAATTTTAACATGTTATTTTTTTTTTTGGGTATATTATAATCCATATTAGTGTGTGAATGTGTACTTCACTTTCATATATGTTACTGTGCTTATTTGATGTAATCGGAACTTTTGAGTTATATAAATATTATTCAAATTTTTTGCATTTTCATCTTGTGAAATTTGAGAAAATAATAAATTCTGCGTGATAGATTATTCATTCAACAAAAAAAATCTGCGAATAAGCTGTTTACAAAATGTATAAAACAAATAGCTAAACAACTTATCCAGAACACGAACAGATTGATCATTTATCCAGAATAAACTGTTTTCCAAACGCACAAACCAAACAACCAACTAATTTATTCGGATCAGCTGCCCATCAACAGATTATCAGGGTTTATTCAGATCAGCTGTCCATCAACAGATTATCAGGATCATATCAGCAGAAGCTGGATAAGCTGTAACTGCCCCAAACAGACCCTTAAATTACAAATTAACTTATTCTGATAATTTATAAATTATCAAATTATCTTAATAAATTAATTATCAGCATATCAACAGAAGCTGGATAAGCTGTAGCTGCCCCAAACAGATCCTTAAATTACAAAATAACTTATTCTGATAATTTGTAAATTATCAAATTATCTTAATAAATTAATTATCAGCAGAGGTGTTTGAGACAACTAATTTTTGAGTTTTGAAAAAGTCGAAGGCATGTTTGTTGCGCTTGTTGGGTTTGGTCGGTGGTAAAAAAACGTGCATCCAATCCTTTATAAATCGCGGCCGCGGGATACACCACGCGGTCCGCGTTCTGTTCGAGCTTACCTCTAGCCCCTCGCTCCCGTACCCGATCTCGCTTTTTTTGCCCTAGCTCTGCGATCGAATTCCCATACCCACGCCTCCTCTGCCCTTCTCCTCTCGCTGTAAGTTATCGCTCTCTCTCGTTCTCCCTCATCAGCGCCTCACTCGCCTGCCCTTCTCCGCTCTCTTTCACTTGATGTTCCGGTTACTCTCTGTAAGTTACGGTTAATGCATTTGTTGAATCTCTGTTATATAGCGGTCTTTGTTGTTTTTGAATTCATGCGTTTGGGATTCTTTAGGGTTAGATTTGTTATTGGTTTCGAATTAATTCGCCACCTTGTTGTAATTTTTCTCCCCTGTGTTTGATCTATCGGGTTTAGTGATGCTTTTTTTCTGGAAATGATGGGTAGTTGAGGCCTTTTCCTTGCAGGAATTGTGGTTCTTTTTTAGCATGCTTTTGGGGAAATGGCTGTTAGTATGTGCCACAAATGGTTCTAGCTCATGATATCAATGATAATGCTATGGTTGATGGTTGAGTGATGGTTAGCAAGAGTTGGTAAATACCATCAAAGACTCACAAGGATTGCATAAAAAATATGTTAATAGCTTCTAGCTTGAGCATTTGAGCTTGTTTTAACATTGGATTCGTTACTGGTTTCAAATTATTTCGCCACCGCGTTGGAATTTTTTTGCCCCTGTGTTCGATCAACAGGTTTGGTGATGCCTTTGTTGTGAATATGATGGGTAGCTGAGGCCTTTTCTTTGCAAGAATTGTGGTTTTTTTTGCATGCTTTTGGGGAAATGGCTGTCTGTATCTGCCAAATATGGGCCTAGCTCATGGTATCAGTGATATTGCTATGATGATTGCTTTGGTTTTATGGTTTCTTCAGTATTTCCATTTGGTTTAATGGTTGCTTCGGTATGTATATGTGCCACATAGCAAGAGTTGGTGAGCTGCCACATACGTTTCTTTGGTTTTATGGTTGCTTTAAGTGATAAACTCATTACTTTAGATCAAAAGTTGTGCAAGCAATACGAAAATAACAATTAATTTCATTAGTATGAATTTTTATTTAAAATTTGAGACGGTTTTATCCAAAATCTGCTTGGCATTATAGCAATTAAATTCTGGCAAACTATTTGGCTATTTATTTCAGGATTTAAGTTTGTTAAGAATTTGTTATGATGAAATTGAGACATGTTACATTAAAGAAAAAAAAAAGTTTAACCCCAACCTTATTTCATTGCCTAAAAATGTGATTAAATGATCAAGTTGTGGGGCATTTTTTATTCATTGCTCACAATCAAAATAATGGTTAGGTTATAGATTAATGATAAAAATATTTTAAAAGAAATGAGGTTAACATCATATGAGTGCATATTAGTGATAGTTTTATGTCTCAAAACATCTTTTTGAATCATCTCCCCAATTGGCATGCATATTACAGTTTCATCATCTACTACCATCTCACCTAACACGCCTGTTATATTTTAGTTTGAGGCTTGTTAAAATATAGTTCATACATGTTAATGACCAATATAATTATGAAACACTCCACATAATCATAATGTCAGCCTGAGAAAATTATTGCATGAACCTGGAACATCTCTTTCTAAATACCAAAAGTTATTTCTGTTATTTTACGTAGTTGAGCTTGATGATGGTTACACAACTACTATACTACTTATTATTTCGGTGATGCATCTCCATGATAATCTCTTAAATATATATATATATATATATGGAAGGAGCACTGCTCCAACTATATTAAAGGAAAGAAAAACCAAAAGGATATAAAGAAACCAAGGGAACCCTTTATAAGAAGCAGGATGGGCCCTTTGAAAAAACCTATGAAAACTTAGTTCTAACATAAGGTAGGCGTATCAGATTCCCTTCCAAAAGTAATTACAAAGAAGGATTAAAGGATTTGCTAATAAGAGGATGATTACTGTGGAGTCCCATTCGAGAGAGCCAATTTGCAGGCCTATTACCTTCTCTATGTATATGGGAGACAAAAAGTTGAAAACCATCCCTCATATGCTGAATTTCCTTGATTAAGTATATTAGGAGCCAAGGTCTGTCAGTTGCTCCATTCATAATATTCACTAATGTACTAGAATTTGATTCCACCCAGAGGTGATGAATACCAAGTTTATTGGCAAGGAGGAGGGCCAAATATAAAGGCAAAATTTTAGCTTCTAATGGGTCTTTGGCAAAGGTAGAAGATTGGAAGTAGAGCAAACAAACACCTCTATAATCCCTAAAGACACCACCCATGCCAGCATGGGGATGAAGAAAACTGCCCTCAATATTAACCTTGACCCATCCTTGTCGTAGAGATAACCTCTTCACCAGTATAGGCTTAATAGGGTTGGAGTTGTTTTGAATATCCTGAGAGAAAATCGGAGGGAAATGCTAAAACTTAATAAGTTTACGTACATAAGCAATACACAGATTAGCCACATTCTTCACCCCAACCTCAGCCTCCTCATACTTCATTTTGTTCCTAGCCATCCAAACAAACTAAGCCACAATGCAAGGCACCAAAAATAGTTTTCTATCCTGCCAGTCTTGCCAGCACTTATAAAAGTTCTCCCAGGACAGATTCAGAACTGATAATAAAGCCTGACTTAAGAAATTCTCCCAAATCAGTTGCATAGTGGAGCATTTGAAGAATATGTGATATACATATTCCTCTTCCTGTTTACAAAAAACACACCAACATGGCCCCCATATTCCCATCCAGAAGCCAATTATCTAGCCATAAATTAACTTTACCCTTCCCCACTTCCCAAAAGAAAAGCTTTTCAGCCTCCTCCCTAATTTTTAGCATCTTGGCCCAAATAATATAATCACCCATTTTCCTTTCAACTTGACTGGGGTGGATGTGTCTGCAATATTTGCCCATCATAAATCTAGATCAGAAGGAGTCTTGTGATCTAAACCTTATCCAAATTTTGCAAAGATTAACATGTATAAGATGATGAAAGCTTTTGAAGCCTAGGCCCTCAAGTTTTGTAGCCTTATATGCCTTACTCCAGCTAGTCTAATGTAATTGCTTCCTTTGTCAAGACCACAAGAACCTATTAAAAAGTTTATTCAGACTCTTATGTGTAGATTTCTTCAGTACTGTCATTTGCAAGAAATAAGCAGGTAGAGAGGATAGGACACTTTTGAGAAGAGTAACTCTTCTACCATTTGACAAATAAGAGTTGACCCAGCATTGGAGTTTGTCTTGAATTCTTTCCACAATATGATCAAATTGAACTTATTTTGCTCTACCTTTAATAAGCAAAGCACCTAGATATTTGATTGGAAATTGACGAACACTAAAACTAGTGAAATTAGAAATCCAATTCTTCATAACAGGCTTAACCTTCTGACTAAGAACAACTACACATTTCTGGATATTCAAAACCATGTCAGAGCTTCTTTGGAAATGTTCTAAGCATTTAAATATAGATCTAACAGCAGGCTTAATAGCTTTAGAAAATATAATAATATCATCAGCAAAAGCAAGGTGATTAATAAGCATATTAGATCTGTGACTGTAAAGGGAATGCGGTTCTTCAACAACAACCTGATTTAACAATCTAGAAAGATAATCAAGAGCTAGAATAAAGAGTTAAGGAGAAAGGGGATCACCTTGCTTAATGCCTATGGAAGCACTGAAGAACCCATGAGAACATCCATTAACAAATACTGATTGATAATTGTTAGACAACCATCTACCAATAATAGAGATAAAAGAAGGAGAGAAGCCTCTAGCAGTGAGAACCTCATCAATAAAGTCCCATCTAATAGTGTCATATGTTTTCTGGATATCCAATTTGAAGATTATATTACTCCCTCTGACTGTCTGTCCAGATCCAAAACCAGCTCCTGAGCTAAAAGAACAGTGTCCACTATGCTTCTACCTTGAACAATGGTAGTTTGATTTTCACTAATGATGTGGCTGAGGTGAGGTTGTAATCTACTTGCAATTAATTTGCTAATGACCTTTGAAATTATAGAAGTCAGGCTAATGGGTCTGAAGTTTTTCCATTTAAACTTAGCTTTATCCCTAGGAATTAAGGTGATAGTAGATGAAGTGAAATACTTAGGTAGGTCACAACCCCAAAAGAAACTTTGTATAGCCATCATGATATCCCTCTTAATTATACTCCAAGCTTTCTTATAAAAATCAGTTGTGAAGCCATCAGGCCCAACCACTTTAGAACTATCAATTGAGGATAAAGCCTCCCAAATTTCTTTCTCATCAGGGATAGCAGCAAGATTCAAAGTTTTAGTAAATTCAAAACTCCTTCCCAAAAATACCATTCTGGATAGGATCCTTTTCCAAAAGAGGTTGGGTAGACATTTCCTTAAAATAATTCACAGCACTAGAGGCAATACAATTGGCATTATGAAGCCAAACCCCATTCTTATCAAGAATCTTATGAATAGTATTGCTTCTTCTCCTGTAGTTAATACAAGCATGGAAAAATTTAGAATTCCTGTCCCCCTCACAAAATTTAACCTTTGAAACTTTCTGTGCATAGAAATCCTCTTGCATTGAAATGGCTTCCATTACCTCTTCTCTAAATAATTCAGTACCCACCACATGATTCATTTCAAGTAGATGCTCCCACTTAAGCACAGAGTCTTCAGCTACCTTGACTTTAGCATTAACATTTCCAAAGACACTCGAATTCCATTGTGACAGCTATTTTCCCACCTTCTTGTGAAGTAACCAGAGCTTGATCCAAGGATTTTGATGATTGTAACCTTTCCAAGCTAAAGAAACTTGATTGAGAAAGTCACTATGTAAGGATCACATATTCAAGTACCTGAAAGAAGACCTATTCTTTAGAAGAGACAACAGTTGTAATCAAAATAGGTCTATGGTCTGAACCACACATAGTCAGATGTTGCACTGAAGTATGAAGGAACTCATTCAGCCAAATATAATTGACCAAAATTCTATCTAATCTTTCCCAAACATTCCCTATCCTCCAAGTAAATTTGAGGCCAAGAAACCTTAAATTAAATAGCCCAGCTTTCTTAATATTGTCATTAAAGGAACTAATTAGATTTAAGTCTGGTAATCTACCCCCCTTCATTTCATTAGGGGAAGCCACACAATTAAAATCTCCCCCCACAAACCAAAAGGAACTTATATGACTATTGATATCTAGCAGATGACACCAAAAGTCATTTCTAGCCACTGCTGAACAACCTGCATGGATAAAAGTGGCCAGGCCACTAGTTTCCCAAAAAGAGAAGCTCAAATGAAGGAACTGCTCATTGTCCCTGATATCAAAACAAGGAATCTCATTTCTACAAAACAACCATATTTTATTACTCAAATTAGTGAAAAACTGAAAACAATAGCACTTATTAATAATTTTTTGAATATGTTTCAACACCAAGGGTTCTATAATAACAATAATCCATGCATTATATTAAGAGTAAGGATTATGTTAAGGGATCTAGGATTATTTATTTGTTAGTTTTCAATCACTAATGTCTTGATGCATATACCTTATTTCCAATACAAATAGTGCTTAAACTCAAAAAGTACATAGTAAGTTACACTCGAGCCTAGAAAATAAATGTCAGTATTTATCGATATGAAGAAAACATGTAACAGATGATGAATCTTGTTGGGCATAAGGGTTAAGCTTGAAAGCACCTTCATAAAGTATGTTACTTTTTCTTTATTTATCAACACTCAATTATTGACATGACTCCATATATATGATTGCATATATACTCCTAATCCAATGCACACATCTCACACTTAGTTAATAGATAAAAGAAAAGAGAGCATAAAATGTACAACCAATAAAAAAAACCACATCACAATGGTCACACATGTGAAAAATCCTAATTACACCATACATTAACAAACATCTATGGGTGTGT